TTTTTTTTTTTTGCGGCTACTGTTTTCTTCACCATTGCGAAACCTCTTTTCTTTACCTATTTTTCAAATTTACCTCAGTTTATGTGTTATATTGACTGATGTATGCAGTAATATGCAACTGAATAACAGTTTACATATCAAACATACTACGATGATGCATCCAATTTGATGTTTCGGCGATCGTCTGAAATCAAGAAATTCTTTTCTTACCAACATCTGTCTGCCTGAATCATTGTTCCGTTGCCCATTTTGAATTGACAGTGAAACAGTAGTGAAATATACGCAGTTTTCTGCTGGTTTTCGGGTGACGCAGAAAAGTAGGTTGACGTCAGAGTTAAAAACAGGAAGATGACAATACTCTAGCAGTAAAATACTGCCCAGAATTAGTGAAAAAAAACCAAACGTTCTAGTTGTAGATCATTTAGTGAACTTCGTAGCACATGGCATAATTAAATGAGAATTATGACGGAAAGGAAACGGTAGACTGACCGCAACATGGTGAAGTGATGGATGTGCAGTGCATACTACAAGATTCACCGTTGTTATATGAATTAAGCAAATAATCTGCATAGTGTACTTATTCTTTGTTTTCACAATTGATTCTTCCCCTTCCTGTTATACCTTCATGCCTCCTTTAATCAGCTGTTTGAAACTGATCTTCTTGTTTTAAAAACTTAAATTTTAAGTGATGGTTTTTTCGCTTTTATATAAATTTCTTCTGATTTGTTCCTTGTCAAGCATAATACCTGTGCACTGTTTAGGTTGAACACAGAGTGATATTAGTTGTTAGTGTTTAAAAATATAAGAGCTTTCAATGACGAACAATAACTGTTAACTTCCGTATGTGAGTAGTTAGTAATGAACAAACCGTTGTTCATTTTTTTTTACTTTTTTCTAAAACTTTTCAAGAAGGAAATAAATTTTTCTGCAAAGCTGATTGGTTGTAGTGAATGGTCACAAAAACTAACGATCTTTTGAATGGCATTCAATAAGTGTCAGTTTAATCGTAAATAGGTTTGAAAAGGCTAAATTTATTCAGTCGAATAAACTGTTTAGTTTTAGAAGGCTTGTTTTCGTTACATGACTAACCATCAGGTGGTACCAATGAAAAGTAACTCCAAAACTGCTGTATATTTATTTTTTTTTACTGTTTTGCTGTCTACTTTATATCGGCCATTGCCATCAAATTTTACTGATAATTTTCTGGATCGAACTGCAATGTACATAGTGGAAATGACTCTCCGGTTAGCATATGTTTATCCGGTAAGATAATTTGATATCCTGTAATTTTCACTTTTGTTTACGGTATTGTCAAGTTAAACTAACAAAAGAAATTGTTGTTATCTTAGTCTAGCACTTTTTTCGGCTGTACTGTTAAATTTTAAGAAAATTTTCCAAAATGGTAAAACAGGAAGAGTTTTGCAAATATTACTGCGGTCACAAGTGCAAGGCCTTTCTTTGTCCGCAGTGAAGCTTTATAAATTCAAACTAATTTAATATTTTAACCAATAAAGTTTATAACTGATTAATTCAGTTTTTTCTTGGAAGAAGTAGAAGAAATAAAGAATTTTGACCTCCAATATTTTTAAGTTTGCAAATATTGATAGAAACATAAAATTGTTTTCTGAAAATGTTTTCATCTTCTACACGGCAATAAGTTAGGTGTTCTTACAGGGTCGTCTTTGCTCTGCACCATATTGTCAATTAGTGTTGACACGAATTTCTTTGGGAAGTCTGATAAAACTTATCAGTCCTTGGACATTGTACGATCCAGATCTGTTTATTGAAGATGTCGAGATAGAGTCTGTTTCAACTAGAGTTTATATGCCATATAACCGTTCTAATAGTGGAGCAATTATTTTTATTCATGGTGGTGGTTTTGTTCTCGGTAATGTTGCAATTTATGAGCCTATGGTTCGCGAACTAGCCAGAGAATCTGGAATGGTAATTTTTATCTTTCTAAAACTTAGAAAAGGTTTATAGTCTTTAACTATATTATAATTGATAATAATTCAAAAATAATCAACTTTTAGCTTACTTTCTCCATTGACTACCGACTGGCACCTGAATATGTCTTTCCGACAGGTCTTAATGACTGCGAGCGAGTAGTCATGCATATCCTAAAAAGCGGATACGGAAAAGCCGATATTGATAAGACACGCATTGCACTGATGGGAGATTCTGCAGGTGGTGGTTTAGTAGCCACACTTACACACCGTCTGCGAAAAAAAAGCGGTATTTCACAGCCAAAAGTTAGCATTTTTTTATAATTCAAAGGTGTTTTCACTCAGATTGAACCGTTGCCTTAATCGCCTTAAACAGTTTAACTTCATTGCCAGAATGGTGTGGTTTATATATCTGTTTCTTCCTTGACTGCCGAATATTAATAGAAGTTTAAAAACTAGTAATTCAGGTTCAAGTTTTGCTTTATCCGTTGCTTCAAATGCACAATCTACGCACACCATCATATGAGTATTATTATGAAGAAATGGCAGGAACAGCATTTGTTGACCCGCGACTGGTTGCCCAATATTACCTGATGTACGCAGGTATCGATGATGAGACGAATACCAGGTTTACACCCCTGGTACTTAACAGTATGCATCTTTCACAGTCGGCAAGGAATAATTTCGAAACGTATTTTGACTTGAATTTGATCCCCGAAAAACTGAAGTAAGTTATCCCAATAAACGCTCGTAAAATTAGAGCAGAAAAATCTATAGCTTTGAATATAAGCAACAAATGCACGACATCTTAATCGTTCGAAAAAAAAAAGCATTTAACACATCCATTATCGGCACTTGATTTTTTTTGTATTTCAGGAGAAATAAAAACATTACACACTGGGATCACACGCATGACAAGAATGCGTCTGAAGTCCTTGCTCCTTTCCTGCAAAATCCAGAGTTTACTCCACTTTTGCAGCCAAATTTAGCTGGATTACCAAGAGCATTGGTAGTAACAATGGAGTATGATGTGCTGCGAGACGAAGGTATCGTCTACTCAAAACGTTTGGAGGATGCAGGTGTAGAAACAACCTGGAAACACTATTCCACTGGTTTTCATGCAATCTTGAACTTCAATAGTATTATTGCAACTTCACAACGAATGATTGGAGAAATTTCCAGATGGACACGGGAAAACGTATAATAACCAGATGAGCGCAAATTAAGTTGTCTACTTTAGTATGATTTTGCAAAAATATTCGTTACACATGTGTGGCACTTACTTTCAATGAAAGTTTCCACCGAAACTTCAACTGTTTATTAGTGGATTACTTTTGAGCACTAAACCATCGCTTCTGATCTTCATGTACCGATTTTAATTTTTCAGTCTAAAAACTATAAACTAATCGTTACGTTTCAGAGGACAAATATTTCAGTCAGGAGACACTTTATTTTTTCCTCCTTATTCGCTTGTTTGATTTTTTCACTTTTATACTTTGTTACTGAATCGGATAGCTTTCTTACTGCAATATTTCATATACGTTGTTTAGAAAAGAAATCAAAAGTATTGTTGTCCCGTTAATAGATGTAATGGTGTAATTTAATTTTTGTAGGTCTCATTGCAGTTTTTGCAATTGCCGGACTTTAAAACAGTGAGGAAAACTTATACGTAGGCTTCCTTTGAAGTACTTCACTGCATCACGGTCTTTTTTTCTTTTATGAAACAAAATTACTGATCTTTGATTCGACGGGTATTTTTTCCTTTTTATTCTTTTTTTTTTCCACTTGGTTCTTTTCTTCTGTCTAAAGATTAGTCTTAATTAACATATTCTGTTATCATATTAATGGTGTGAATTGTTACTGTCAGTTGTAAATCAGTCTTTTCATATGTTTAAAATAATGATCCCGATCATGGGCCACCAAATTCGTTGTATGTCTCGATCATCTTGTTTTATTTGGAAATATACTAACAGATTGCAACTGCTACCAGTTGCCGTACAAATAAAACGTAAACATAAACCTCAAAGCGTGAACGATACACGCGACGACAAAATCCAACGGTCCATCAAGTGCTGGCCGTTCATTTCAGAATCTGTTGGAAAAACAAGAGGAAACATATAAGTCCCAACCTTGGTTAATCTTTACTTTTCATTTCAACGCTACACAAAACAGTTTTGTAAGGAGAGCAAAAATTTAACGAATAAAACAGTCCGGCAAAGAAACAACCACTCACACTCGGCAGAAAAAACCAAAACCCTTAAACTAGCTGTGCAACACAACACGAATCAAACTTCTCCTGAACCCTTTACAAGATACTTATCGGGAGCTCGTAAACGACAAAACAGCTACTCCAAAAGAAAATAACGGAAGTTTAAGAACCTTTAAAACTGTCAAACAAAAACAGACAACAACAAAAAAGCAAGTTCCAGAAAAACTAAGTTCTTCACTGATAGTGCCCAACTCCAACAACTGCTCGGCAGTCAACATCTCAAAGACCCGTCAATTACTTCGCACCAGCAAAAATTGTAGTTCGCATTAGGATTAATCAATGAAGTATCACCAATTTAATCAATGATACAATGGTTATATGTGAAAGAAAAAAAGTCAACTATTTTGAATGCATTTGTGTTTATAATGCGCTTCAAATACAAAACTAGACGACCGGCCCTAACCAAACTATACAATAAGCGAAGTACAATAAATCCTCATTGTTTGGAACCAAAACAACGTAATGCAAAGTAAGCAAAAGAAGACCGTAGAATAAGAACTTCCAACTAACAAGAAACACACACACACACCAACAATTAATCTAAGGGACTTTCCTTTATTTAGAACTCTACATATTACTAACAGATTTCACAAGTTCCTATTTAATTATGACTTCTTAGGGAAATTTGTATTAAAGCAGAAGCTGAAATGTGATCAAGAAAAGACAGAACTACAAAACAAAAGACAACTATAAAAAATAAAGATTTATATGCTTCCACAGATCAGAATTCTGCTATAAGACAAAAAAGAAAGACATGAGTCGCATAATTAGGTATGAACCACAAAAGTAAAATAAACAGACGTGCCAAGCTACCCTCTTCCTGTAACTTAGCATTATCTATGACTATAAAACATTTCTCCACCGGCATAAAAATAATCAGTAGGCAAAACGAAGTCGACAGACTTCCTTGTATCACACAAAGTAAATCAACCGTAATCAAGCTTCATAGACACTGCTTTAACTGAAGGGGGATG